CCCCCAAATACCACCCTATCAGCAAATGCTCAGAAAAATCTGAAATTTTTTGTGGGGGGTCTCTAGGCCATGCGCAACACTGTCATAATTTTTTATTTTTTTTTATTTTTTTTTTGGTGCCAAAAAGGCGTCGTCCGGAAATCCGGACGACGGGGGGGGAGACGTCCGGTCTCTGGACCACTGGTAACCTAAAAAACATAAAATTTGACTCGCAAACCCTAATTTCAGTTTTGGGTCTGTTGGTCAGGACCTGAAAATGGGTGTCCCCGTTAACCATTAGTGGACTTGCTATGTTTTCTAAGTATGTGTGTCATGCGTGTGAACTGCGGCTAACGTATGTGTGCTGTGTGCTTGTCTGAGTCTGAGGATGGGTCCATGTGTTAACTTTGTTGTCCGTGATGTGCGGCTGTGCCTCGGACAGGGACGAAGTAGCAAGCAACAGGGACAGAATTGAGATTGGTACTGAATGGACTTGTGTGGCAAGGCCAGGACGTACAGGGGGAAGAAGTAGAATTTGGTTAGCGCTAGGTAGGGATTTTCCAGCAACTTGTGTTACGCCCAAGTGAAGTCCAGTAGGCTTGGAAAGTTCCAGCCAGTAGCTGTCAAAAGAGGTCACGAGTACTCTGGGGGTCCTTACGTAGGTAGATTCCAGGGTAGGTACAGCCCCTGAGGTCGGATTGCAGACTGAAATGATGTTCATGCCTTTTTGGCAGGAATTAATTTCTGGTAGGCCTAATGCACCGGAGTAGGGAATAGCAACTGGCCAGGGAGGTGTGGGGGGCAGGCCAGGCAAGAGTATATTGTTCGGGGCAATGAGCACTTCGTGCATTCGACCCAGCAGTCATGCTGCTGCTCCGCCTAGACGGAGAAGTTGGTGGAGCTCCTGGAGGTTGAAGGTGGAGCTGGAGGGTGAAGGAGGAGACCTCCATGGCTATGGAGTATTAGTAGAGAGGTAGGAGTAGCTCTAGGCCATGGACGTGAGGGAGATGGACCTCTAGCCAGGCTATTGAGTTGTAGAGTAGTTGCGTTTGAACCAACAAGAAGACTCGCCTTTGGGAATGGTGGACTTACATTTTCAGTTTCATGGTTGGCAAACTTGGCCCTGCATCAAGAGGGCAACTGTAGGAGGGGAGAAGCATCTGTGTGTGTGTTCTTCTTGTGTCTTTTGATTCTTTTCTGACTTGCCGGCAGAATAGGAATCGAACTGATGCTCCCCAGAAAATTGAAAAGGAGCCCGAGCCGTAAGGCTCCCTGTTTTTTTTTTTTGGTTGGTTTGTTGTTTTTTTTTAAAGAAAAAGACAACTGTAGGCAGTGTAGGGGTACCGCTTGGGCAGGGACTTTAACCAGAGGGCATAGACTTGGGGGTAGTTGAGAGGGTAGGACATGAAAGCAATTTGCATTGTCCTCTGAACATCCAATGTAGCCTTCGATGTACTGCCATAGCCTGTAGCCATACAGAGGGTGGAAGGAAGATGAAGTGAGCTAAAGGAGAGCTCTTTCCAAGGCTGGCAGTAAGGGGGAACAATTGGACATTGGTTCTAGTTCATGCATTCATTGCTGTTGTGAACTACTATTATTAAGATGCTGGAGATGATGAGGAGGCAGAGAGATGTGGAGTTGAGATTCTAAGGACGGAGATGACAATGGTTCCAACTTGTGTTCTTCCTCTTCCTCTTCTTCTTTCCTCCATTCTTCTTCTTCGCTTGTCTCATTCTCCTCATATCTGAGTTGCAATGAATGGCTCTGTCTCATTTTTCAGTTTCGCATTGTGAAATGGGCAGGATGATAGCACTTGCATCATCATTCATGGCAGGGTGCTATCCTATACGCTGAGACACACAGTAGGGAAGTTCATACATCGGCGACATTCATTCACATATTTCAAGTGAGCATTCACATAACTCGTTCGTATTTCAAGAGCTGACTGTAGAGGAAGAATGAGGTGGTTGACCTGACGTGAAGATCTACTGACAAAACGGTTGGTGTGCGTGTGTGTGTGTGCAAGCCCGTGTGTGTGTTGTGTGTGTGAGCCCTTGTGTTTGTGTGCTGTAGATTTGCACCACACAGCAGCCCTTGTTCCACCCAGATGAGTAGATAAAAAATCAAAGCAACTTTACCTCTATTGTGAGAATGAAGTTGTGGACCTGAAGTGAAGATCTACTGACAAAACAATTGGTGTGCGTGTGCGTGTGCGTGTGCGTGTGCGTGTGCGTGTGCGTGTGCGTGTGCGCGTGTGCGGGTGTGTGCATGTGTGTGTGTGCGTGTGCGTGTGCGTGTGCGTTTGCGAGCCCGTGTGTGTGTGTTCTGTGTGCGTCCTTGTGGGTGTGGTTGTGGGTGTGGGTGTGGGTGTGGGTGTGGGTGTGGGTGTTGTCATATTCCCCATACAGAACTCCACAAAGAAAAGCATGAAAGTGCCAGGCTATTTTCATGGACTTTCACCGACTCATCAGGAGTGTGTGTGTGTGTGTGTGTGTGTGTGTGTGTGTGTGTGTGTGTGTGTGTGTGTGTGTGTGGTGGGGGGGGGGAAGGGCTGGAGGGTGCATGATGTGCTATGTATTTTTTTAATATGTTTCCTTCAATGATGTGTTTCTTTCTCTTTACCTGCCACTGTGAACAGTTTATTTCGGATCCAGATGAACCCTTGCAATTCCAAGTGGAATTCTCACCGATGAAAGTGTTAGCAACGGCAGTGGACTTTGTTATTGCAAAGGAATCAGGTGGTCGATGGCATTTCGAGGTTGAGCTTGAGGTTCGAACTCACCACCTAGAACTCGCCAAAGTGGATTCCAAACTCATTATTTTTGCAAACTGCATCCCTTTCTTCTTCCTTGTTCTGTTCTGGCTCTCTTGCACAGTTGGTTCACTGTCAGTGAGCTCTTTCCTCCACCGGAAGTCACCAATCCTCTCTGTTAACTGGTTGATTCAGAGAATTTCAGACCAGTTGACTTGACCTAGTGGTCAATGACGTTCCATGGGCATGAATGAATCAAGAGATTCAAGACCTTTAATTAATCCAGAAGCCAGCAGAATATACATACTATTACATACCCAACCTTTGCAACAACCTAGACTTGAAAAGAAGAAAAAAATAATAATAAAAAATATATATATATATACTAGGCGGCCATGCTGTGCCTCTAGTGCCAGCGGCGTGTCTGGAGTGTATTTTTTGGCCGTGGATGATTTGCTGGCTTGTGATGGGGTGTGAACCGACAGTCTGTAGAGTTTTCCATCTGGTGTGGGTGAGTGATAGTCTACTTTGATTTTGGTTAAGGTAGATTATCATTTACAGTGTAATCAGTGAGGGGATT